AAAAATTTTATTCAATATAAATTACTAGAAACAGATTAATAATCATTAACACGTTTCTTGATGATTCTCATTAATTATATTGTGTTTTCAGAAGTACTATAACAATATTTTAGAGGCGAAATATGATGTTCAAAGAGGAGAACTTCATGGTATAATATACTTTCATCAAAATTTTTCTGAAGCTCTAAAAATACGAGTGGAACATGTTACTTTCGCGAAGGATTCCGATCTTCTTGCTAGTCAGATTCAAGTTTTCCGTGATATGAGCGGTACGCTATATGTTGTACAGAGCATTCCATAAATAGTTAAGAAATTTTATTAATTAGTACATGTGTATGAACCTACACATACATAAACACGCACGCGCGTGCGCGCGCGTACGTAGATGAATGTTTTTAAATAGAAAGTTTCATTATTTAAAAAACTACACAAAAAGGAATTTAAAAGATTAAAACAATTGCACGTACTAAATATTTTGACACAATAATACATTTGTTACAAATGTTTAAATTTATAATGACTTTTAATTTTATTACTTTGTATTTGTGTATATTTCGACACACTAGCGCGCGCGCACGTAGAAACGTACGTATCTTTAAATAGAAAGTTTTGTTATATAAAGAACTACACAAAAAGGAATCCAAGAGTTTAAGACCATTTTACATCCTGAATATTTTGACATGAACGACATGTAAAAGAATTGATTTGTTACAAATATTTAAATTTATAATGACTTTCGAACTACAGAAAGGCCAATTGGACTTTTGCTACAGAAACATCTATTTGAATGGTTCTTAGACGTTTTCAAGGCTATCATGAGTGACTGTAAATATTTGCCAAAATTGGCCACTCCACCGATACGAGTCAGTATATTTTACAAACTTCAATTTTATAAGTAAATCTCTTTCCCTTTTTCTTTCTCTCTCCGTATACCTTGCGTAACACTACGAAAAAAATTCAATTTTCTATCCTTTTCAGTTTGAAGATCCTATATATGGTACTACTGATTTAAAGTATATAGACTTCGTGATACCATCAATTCTATCAGTGTAAGAAAAAGTCATGCCAACATAATAAATAAAGTTAATCTACTAAACTACTTATAGTATTGTAATATGTTTTTGCAGAGTAGCCTTCACTTTGGGCAGTGCAGTCTCTTCCTTCTTGATAATCACAGATCAAGAGAAGGATGTCTGGAATCGAAACTTAGTCCAAGGTATTAATTTTTTTAATGACACTACGAAATAGACTTTACGATTATTTCTTTGCCTTTGTATATTTTATCACATTAAGGTGAATATATTGTACATGCGTGACAGGGGTAAAAGTAGAAGAAATTCTGCTGTCTCACATTGTGGTTGAGAGCATCATCACAATTATCCATACCATTACGGCAATACTCATAGTCTTCCCTATATGGGGTTTGGAATATAAAGGATCAATATTCGTTATAACCCTCCTTTTCTTTCTCATCGAGTTTTGTGGAATGATGTGTGGTGAGTACTCCACTCTGTATATCAAAAAGCGTACAGCAGCAATTCGGAATTTAATGAAAATGTTGCGTGAGCAATAGTAGAGAGCCCGCAGCCGAGAGGGTGACACACACACTTACACACATACACACACACATGCGCACAGACAGTCAGTGGTAGTACATGGCCGGCAAGCAAGAAGTCGAGTCGCATGTTCACGCAGCATCGACCCGTTACTATAATACAAAACACACTGGTATTCCATATCCATACGCATATCCATATCCTCTCGCGGGTGTCCCCGCAACAGAAAATTACACTGATTATTTGTGTTAATGCATTTGCAGGTTTTGTTATATCTATCTTTTGCACAACTGTGTCGTCCGCATTCTTGTCAACCGGAAGTTTGATAACGACGTTTCTAATGACTGGTGAGACTTTACTCTATCTGTTTCTCGGAAATGACCTCTTACTTTAATTAGTTATTAAATTAATTCTAAATTTAGTTTTTTATTACGTAATGATATACATATAAAATGTTTAATTAAAAAATATCACAATTAACATGAATAATATACAGCGGATAATTATCTTCTTACGTTAATCGAATTTTTATTAATATACAAATTTGACAAAATTATAGGAAGTGTTTGGCCAACAGAGGGAATGCCGACAGGGCTTGACTGGATTAGCTACATATGGCCAACTACATTGCCCTCCCAATCTTTCAGGGGAATCATTTACAAAAATTCTTCCATTTCTGATTCGGAAGTTTATATTGGTTTTATAACAATATTAGGGTGGACAATGCTGTTCTTTGTCGTAACTATATTTGGTATGAAATTGAAATCGTAGTAATATTAGAAGTTTTTGTCTTTGACATTATACATATGTATATATGGTTATTATAGATTAATTATGTAAAATCGAAATTGTTGTATTAAATATACTTTACATTTTACATTTTTAAAATAGGTATTTATTAACATAATGATATAGAATACTGAGAAAGTCTTCCTTTTAAATATGGACTCACAAAATTTTATACGTATGGTTTTGTCTCTAACACTTATTCGAATCCTCGTTCGAATCATTTGAATGAATAAAATAAAAACACAGAACAAATGCTTCACTTTGCACAAGTAGCAAATAGCATAACAATGTAAGACACTTACCTCACCATTTCTCTGCCGTTGCCCGATGCCACCTAGGCCTGGTCATCCTCTCAGATTTCCTTTGTTACACTAACAGAACACTCACTCGCGAAAATCATCGATCGCGCGAAATTTCGAGCACTCCCGTACGCGATGTCAAATACCGCGAAACGCACGAAATATTATTAACAAATATCGCGTGACTTTCTGTCATACAAATTACTCAAACTAACCACTTACACTTTTGATTCGGAAGAATATTGGAATAAATCACTATTGAATTGGCGAAATAAAACGCAACGCGAGCATCGAAAGCATAATCCGCGGTAAAGAAGTAGTTATTAGTCCGCAACAAAACGATATTTTACAATCTTTGTATGTATATGTTGATAAAGAGCCGTCGCCTCAACATGCAATTCGTTTCTCATTATAAGTTGTAGAAACTTAATAATTAATAGAGGAACGTTACTTGTTACCAATAAAGATGTACAAATCAATAGCGTTTTATCCCTACATTTATCGCGATCGAGTCTTAGAAACCGATAACGCGAAAATAATACGACACACGGAGCGACTCTCGCTGCTGCCTGCCGGCACGACATTCGGCGAGCGAGTGAGAACGCGGCGACCTTGGTACTCGCTGGCACGCAAAAACATCGTACGTCACCGCGCCGAGAGACAAACAACAGAAAAACGTTGAACGTTCGTTCACATTCGTTGTCCGTTGTCCTGCCTACGAAATTGAAAATTCTGTACTTAATATTTTACTTTACTTTGTTCCGTGACTGTTACTATGTTTTGTGTATCATTCTGCGGATTTATTGGGATTGATTAAATTAACGATTAATTCTGTTCAATCGAGAAAATGTATCGGAACAAAAATCGTTATTACTTAAATTCTAATTACGAAGATTAGAGATTTTACCTAAATAGTTGGTGTATACAAATGTATATTTCTAAATTGCAAATCTTCATTTACTACGAATCTAAAAGAGACGTGAAGCACACCGCGCTTCGAGAAAATCAACCGGCATCGCGGAAAAGAGGCCTCAACTGTTCGATATTAACGACATTCGCGCTGGTAACATCTCTTTTTTAGAAAGGGAGACTTATGTATATTCTTGAAAATTTCAAGGAGATTTTATCAAATGAAAATGGAACTGTGTATTGTAATAGCAGGTTCTTAAGAATAACTAAAGTAAAGAAAAGCTCTGTACAAATTTTTCCCTCTGCCAAATAATTACCGAGACATCGTAAGTTAAATGATGAAAAATTCTCTAGATTGCTTTGAACATTTAGAAAAATACTAGGCCAATGAAAAATTGTCCGAAACAAAAGTTAAAAAGAATGCAATGAAAAATAGGGCATTCCATTTAAGAAACTGAAAGTTAGTTTTACGTGGACATTAAACGATTATCCGAGATCGAATCGTTGTCTTTTGTTCTCTTTTGTATCAAATAACTTTTGTTTGAAATATTTTCTACGAATGCGTCATTTAAGAGATATTCGAAATAAGCAATTGAAACAAGACATCTTGAATATTTCATAGAATAATTTTCTTCTTCTTCATGTACTGCTTTCTTGTGCAAATTATATATTAAATATTATTAAATATTAATACACACTTTCATATAGTTATAGTTAATAATGTTTAAAAAGATAAATAAAATTCACAGGACACTGATGTGAAATCACAGATATAAAGTAAGAAAGGATATAATGTAAGAGCCAAAATGAATGTTAGTGTCTAAATAATTTTAAATAAATTTTAAATAATTTTTTCAATATTTGTTTTTGTACAATAATATAGAAACAGAAATCCTAATAAAATAGATTTCAGGTATTTTCAATATGGTTTGCTTACATACGTTTTTTCTACAAGTAATGTGTATGTATAGTATATACCCTGAAATATACACATATATATTCTTTGCAAAATCATATTATTAAATTTCTATTACATTTTCATTATTTCTCCTGTCATATTTGAATGTCTCAAACTCGTTGGCTCGCGTAAAGATAAACGGTGAGTTTTGCACGCAAGGTCTCGCTGTGCATTACATACTTAGCGCGTGATATCGTGATTGTAGATTTTTAAAAATCCTCGGCTATGCTATCTTTTATTTCAAGTTTTCATGTGAGTGCCGCGCTCTCAGCCAATACCAAATGGTGGTAAACTTATAGCGAATTGAGATGCTCGCATTAGTACGCACCGAGTGCGCACTGAGGCCTGTTTACAGTCAATTCCGGTATCTAAAAACTGTTCCAAATACCTCTTGATATACTACGCAGCCGGTAAAATGATCTATATAACATCCGTACGGATTATTGTTTCGACACAAATGATTTTTTATATGTATTTAAGATTAACATATTTACAGTAGCTCACTCTGAACAAGCCTTAATGTACATTCAGTGCGCACCAGTGCAAATACACGAATTCTCTATAACACTACTAGATACAATCTTGACTGTTTGTATATTATTGTATTGTGTCTTGTCATCGTATTTGGAAAAGTTACCTCATTATTTTAGTATTATACGCCAACTGACGAACAACTGCCACAGCTTATGATACACCGATGTATTATAACTAATCTTAAAAATTTTCTTGGAGTTTATTGTGACTGGTTGTTTTTGTGACGAACAATTACTTAATTGGATTGAAATCCTGTTGATACCAAACCTCGATAATTATATCAAGGAAGAAGGTAAAATAGTGTGTGTGTGTGTGTGTGTGTGTGTGTGTGTGTGTGTGTGTGTTTGCGCGGATAGTGTAGGTGTGGGTAGAGGTTTTATGTAAAGATAACTTCTTAAAAAATATGTATTGTAAATTACATACAATATTAAAAGTAATTCCATTATAGTCCCTTCAGATCCCGCAATTCATTTTACATAATGCTTGTGTTTCATATGTGTGGAAATTAAATTGTGGACAACTTATACAAGTTCTTTTTTAAGATGTTGTCGGACGAACGTTTCAAATTTGCCCTCGAAAGCCTGAAGAAATGTACATTGATGGAACCGAAACAAAACATTTTCTTCAGCCCGCATCTCATATACCATGATCTACTCATGGTGTACTTCGGAGCTAGCGACGATATCGAGAATTCTCTTAGAACAGTCCTTTACATTCCCGATGGTATTTCAAAAGCCATCCTACAACAACACTATGTTTGTATGGAAGGCGAACGGTTCTGTTACGCTGTAAGTAATTCCTTTCGATATTTTTCGCATCGTCGTGCAAAGTCCGCGTAAGAGTATGCGATTTATCGCTAATTTTTCTGGTACTTAAAATGTAAAAAATTTTTAATATACAGGGTGTCCTAAAACCACCGGAGGTTC